CAAAAAGGAAAACAACCAAAAAATACAGCAGATTTATGCTGAATAAGAAAATAAAGGTAGCGACAGAGTGCACAAAGTATTCACAAAACCAATAGAACCAACAAAAATAACTACTTAGCTTTCTGAAAGGTGAAAATCGTAGATTTTTCGGGAGCTCAGAACAACGACGTGTGTATGCTAATTACATACATACATACATACATACAAACAGCATAAATAAATAAATAAATAAATAAACAAATAAATAAATAAATAAATAAATAAATAAATAAATAAATAAATAAATAAATAAATAAATAAATAAATACAACGATCAATTTTGTTGATATTTTGGTTGTAAATATGAGCGTCAACCCAAAATACTCACTGTGCCTTAGCTAATTTTAAAAGCATAAATCCTCGGGTGCCACGTATATGATTAAAACCTTGCAACTATTGCGATCACATCATGATCCAAAAACAAACGCCATACTTTTTCGAAAGGTCAATAATTTTAAGATCATTCGTTTGGTAGGTTCTAATGTCAATAACAGAAACTACTACAATTAAATTCAAACATCGGTCATACTCACGGCTCAGACGAGTACCACTCTCCAGCGATATCATGTACCAGTATACTAACTGCTCTATTTATAGTCAGAATCAAGCTAAAAGGTCAAAGGACAAGTTGACATTTACGCATATGCGCATGTTCTCCTCATGTCTCACGCCGCTAATTATAATTGCGTTTGATGTTTGGTTAATTGACAACGACCGATTACCTGTTGATCTAGACAACTCTCAATTATTATTATTATACACGTGTCACCGTAACGCCATAAGTTACAGCGTGCGGTGATTCTGTGGTACTTTCATCCTACCATATAAGGAAATGAGAATTCTAAATATGGAATGATTAAGCGTCCTCTAATAATAAAAACAAACATGGCTGCCACCAACGTTTGATAGGACTCCATACAAAGAATTCTGATTCTGTTCTCAACATTTTGGATTTCGGCATTGCCATGGTGTATCCTTGGGATGAAAAGATACCTCAGGATACCTCAAAGTAAGCACCCAGACAGTACACAGTACGCGTCGGTCGATACTTCCGCTGTACTGTCTTACGTGCATAGTTTGAGGTATCCTCGTAGTAACCTCATATTATTATTAGTGATTTTTCAATCGCACTCGGACAAAAACAACAACTCAACCTAACTAACAAACAAACAATAACGTGAACGTTAAACAAAGGGATCCTGTAGATAGATCAGACTCTCTGGTTCTCACCACAAGGGGTTACGATGTGCCCTACCAATCATTAAGGAGGAATAAAACACACAGACTGCAATGTTTAAAAACTACGTAGACCACACTGGGGTAAATAACTGACTACAAGGAAACGCGTTGTTATAAGGTCTTTTATTAAATGTAAATGGGATCATAAGATCAACGTGGCAGCATGTAAATGCGTCTACCACCCTACGAAGCGTGCTTGATGCTCGGTGACAGACTCACCTTGAAGTTCGTAACCAGATGTTCCGCAAAGCGGGAGTGAAAACAGATCATATACAGATATTGAGTGTCTCTCCATCTCGATTGCACAGTGCACCCCAACAGCCCAAATGTTATCAAACTCATGTAACCGACTAGTTAAACTCAAACTCTAAGTTAATCCTTGAATGCGTACGACGCTTAAAAATCAGTAGTGCCCATGTCTTGACGCGTATTCCTGCGATTGAGATGAATTGACATCATTGCCGTGGCAACAATGTAAATGAACAGTTGATATGCTTGTTTGGGAGGTGGTAACATAACAAACCACCATAGATGAATGACTGAATCAGGGAATATGAGGCGACCAGCAATGATTCTGATGTGGGTCATCAAAGCATTGATATTGGGACATTCATAAAATATGCGATCCAATGAATCGTCATCGCTGCAAATAGGGCATTTATCGTGTTGTGTGAGTCCAGTACTATAGAGATATGTGCCAGTAGTATAGGCACCATGGAGAATTCTTCATTGAAGATCGCCTTTCAGTTTGCATAATGGTGGGGAGTAACATCCTTTGAAATTTTGCTTTAACTCGTTTGGAACGCTCAAAATGTCGCGTCATACAGTATTAATTTTATTAGTATGATGTTGAGCATGAAGTATAGAAATCATATATTAATAGAAATCCCCATTTTCCATCTTATACTGAGGCGTATTTAAATTATCAGAGTTATATAGGTCAATGTGTTTATTTGCTGGGGGCAGGTCACTAGATTCATTTTTAAAGTATGTTTGAATACAGTCTTTTCACGACGCAGGGATGGACTCGCGAACCATTTTAAAACTGAGATTAAAGATTCTCTCCGACTGCATTCAAACTTTCCTGTACAAAACCGGCGACGGCAGCCAGTCTTTTCCTGGTATGCGATCAAATCACCTACTTCAGTGATGCCAGCATCAACAAAGTGTTTGAGCACATACGGTTCATTTCTAAGTGGATGTAGAACTAGAGGATTATTAAAAATAGGTTCTGAAAGAATTTTAAAAAACATTGTCGGTGTTAACCTTATGGCGTATATTCAAAGAATTCCAACATTTCAACAGATCAGAATAAAAGGTAGGTCCATGAAAGGATGAAATATCAATACTGGTTAACAATACCTGTGATGTGTATTTGAGTTTACCTACTTGGCTGAAGTAATAATCCGTGAACTTGAAGCAAGGATATCTGTGAACGTATAAAATTCGCATAACTTTAATTTTGCTAAATAGATGAACAACATTTTGACCACCGTTTTCCAAAGGTAGATACAAAGTTTCCGCAGAAACCCAGTGCCGACCGTGCCATAAAAAATTCACAAGTAAAGACTGAATGTAATTAACAGTGTCAATAGGCGGGAAAATACTGGCAACACGATAAAGCAAGTAAGAAGTAACGTTATTGACAATTAACGAGCGCCCTCTATATGACATGCCGGACGAAAAGCGGGGCCAATACTCAAGCTTACCTTCAGTTTTTTTGTACAAGCTCGGTCCCGTTTTTTAGTGTAATCATTGTTGTTACCAAGGTAAAAACCGAGTACTTTCAGGCCTATGTTGTCGAATCTACGCAGTTGCTCCACCGCCCGACCCACATGCCATCGGATTGGAAGCACGTTGGTAGATATCAAGCCATTTTATCAACTCACCAAAGTCTTCGTTATTTGTTATGAAAAGTTCTATATCACCTGCATAAGCAGTAAGTTTTGTATTTTTGCTATTACTGTTAGGTATAGCCAGTCCAGTTACTTTGCTTTTATTTCTTATTTTATCTAGAAATGGTTCAGTACACATTACATAGAGTTGGGCAGAGAGTGAACAGCCTTGGCGTATACCCAGAGCTAGCGGGAGGGTGCAGTGAGGGAGCTGTTTATCCGGATAAATAGTTGAGCATTTTTATATATTAAGCCAATGATATTAATAAAATTGTCTCCAAAGCCAGATGATTTTAGAGTGTTCATAAGGTATGTATGATGAACCCTGTCGAAAGCTTTTTCCTGGTCAAGTGCAACTATACCCAAAGACATGTTAAACGCATTAGTATAATCAATGCTGTCCCGCAACAATGATACATTGTCGTGGATATGCCTGCCCAGAACAGAACGGAGATGATGATCTTGATGATCTTATAATCACTGCACAATAAACTATCTGGCCGCCAATTTTGTAAACAAGTATTGTCACCTTTTTTGGGTAGAGGGGTAACAATCGCTCTGTTACAAGAGGCGGGCACAATACCATCATTGATTAACGCAAGTAAAACCCGATGAAAATCCTTCCCCAAAATATCCCCAACATTTTTTATAAAACTCATTGGGCAAGCCATCGATACCGGGAGCACTTCCGACGGTAGGAGTTTAACTGTAAAAGGGGATGTCAATGTCGAGAGCATCTTTGTCCTTGGTATTTAATTGAAGCAAATACTGCAAAATAATATTCTGTACATTAGTATCAACTGGGTCGGGGGAATATAACCTTTTATAGAAACCACAGGTGCGAAGGCAGATTTCCACCTGGTTTTCAGTAACAGTGTTATCAGGTCGTTTAAGTTGGGAAAATGATTTTCGCGCGCCCTTTTGCTTTTCGAGATTGAAAAAGAACGAGTTACACATGTCTGAGTTGTTGATAAAGTGATGACGGGCGCATGTAGCAGCACCCCGAGCCTCCACCTTCGTGAATTCAGCGAGTAATTTCTTTTTTCTTTATAAGTTTGAAAGAGAGACTCGTCATTACCCAAGCTCTGCTCAATATTTGATATTTCATTTTCAAGTTCTAGCTTTTGGTGTTTATTGTTATTGTGTTTGAAATGACAATATTGCTGCGAGAGCACCTTTATTTTCTGCTTCCCCAAATCCCACCAAGTTTGAAGATTCGCGTAATTAGCGCGATGTTGCTGCCAACTAGCCCGAAATTCGAAAATAATTTGAGAATAATCATCGTCAACCAGCACTGAGGTGTTCAAGCACCACACTATGTTACGGTTACTGAAGTTTTTTTGTGATAAATGTATATGTACAAGTGAATGATCTGTGAATCCCAGAGCAGGATTGCTGATAGAGATGATTTATTTTGCTGGATAAAAACTTAATGTAATGTAAAATTTGTCCAGACGTACCAGCGTCTGCCCTCTACCCCACGTAAAGTTGCGTTCACTACCATGATAAAAACACCATGCATCAAGCAATTTAAAAGGGAGTAAAATTTTCAATAACAAACGTTACGTGCGCATGTCTGGTTCGACGCCGCCATTGTGGTCCAGGTCAGGTGCGATTGTGCAATTGAAATCCCCGCCAATAATGACGGGGTCATCATTAACCCTTATTCTGCGTGCCCCATGTACTTTTACATTGACTTAACCAGATAAGGGTTAAGTGTAGTAAGGTGATTTTTTTTAAAAAAATTCAAAGCATGCCATACGCTCTATTCCATTTGTAGGGGTATAAACATTAAACATATGCAGTGGATTGTCGTTTATTAACATGTGAACATGCAATACATGATCACTGAGTACTTCATTCTGGGACAGCACATTAACATTAGCACCTGGACGGAACAAAATAGCTATACCAGCGCGATTTGTGTCACAGTGTGAAAATATTGCATTACTCCTCCACAAAATACTTTATCTATGTTCATCTTGCTTTAAAGTATGTGTTTAGTGTATAAGATAAAAAATCACGCTTGACAAACTCAAAGATTTGATATCTCTTGGCGACATCTTGTGCTCCGCGAACATTTAAGGTTATACCTTAAATTGATTGGGCCATTAAAATGAAGTATAATACAAACACAAATACATTATGCTGAAAATAGTTACACAATGACAGAAACGCGTCCTGTCGTTTACGTTTTGATTTTGTTAACAAGTTTTAATATACGCGCCCTTTGTGAGGTGTTTAGATTAGAGACTGTGTAGAACGATATTTTGATATTAGGGAAAAAATCAAAACAATTGTCAATTTCTTTTTTTTAATTGTTAGTAGATTCTAAAAACTCAGAAATAGCATCTATTGAAGGTGCTAGTGACGTTTTACTAGCTTGAGAAAAGTCCGATATATTAGATATGTTGGACCCAACAGATTCGTTGTCATCCAAAGATTCACGAGTATTAATCAGAGGGGTGGATGGTGTGACAAAACCACCGGATGATCCAGAAGAGAAAGCTGGCATGGGAGAAGCATGTGAATTGAACATGTCTGGTGTAGGTGGAAAGCTAGAAGGCCACTCACCAGTGTTAGCCCCACCCTGTGTGGCAACAGAATTCGAAGGAGGGGTTTGTACCCTCTCTTCAACAGTAGATTTGTAAACATCAGCTGAAATATTTCATTAGTTGTAACAGTATCATTTGCATCAATAATATTATTATTACCATTATGTAAAGCGTCACTATATGCCTTGGATTTTACATTGCGCATGTTGGTATCTTTCATTTGTTTATCAATACCTTTTTCAGTATCATTTTGTACTTCATCATTACTTTTTTTTATCATCGTTTGACAGTGAGCGCTGGCATTTGAGGGCTTTAGTACTACTCGTAGTGTTACTTGAGTCATCAAGTGCTGGGAATTATGTTTCGTAATCAGTTGTTTTGATTGAATTGAAGTATTGTTTGCAGGTGTACCATTATTAGTAACTTCACTGGTGTGCGTGTCAATTTGCATATCAATGGTTTCGTTGTCATTGGCGCTTGGGCAATTCTTACGAATATGTCCTTTTGATTTACATAAAAACATCATAATTCGTCTGATGAAACGTAAATATTGTAGGAACGTCTTTTGAAAGTAACAGGTAGCAAGCCATTGATTATATTGGTGTTTAACCATAAGTAGACTTGCCTTCTCAACGATTGAACATGTTTTAGTGAAGGGCGTTTACAGCCAAGTGGGATCGTGTGGATAGCACTCGTAATTCGACTAAGATGGGCTATGGCTTTTTCAATACAATCATTGGGAAGAAAGGGGGGCATTGGATAAAACAAGTTTCGTTGATGGCCGAACCAAAGGCGCAAAAGTTATCAATTCACCCCCAATATTAATACCTTGAACAGAAACCAAAACAACACACGAGACAGTGCCCAAAAAGACAACCAATGATCTGTTCATTCGTGACACTGCAACAATCATTTTGTCGTCAACCACCTCGGACACTGCCTCAACATAGGTTTTAACTGGAATACCATCCATGTTCTCGCATCTGATGGCATGGATGCGAGTCAGTCTATGTACAATCGGGTGTGAATTACGTAGCGTCTTTTCAGTGGCGGCTATCTTGGTGACGACTGACCACAACACACCAAAACAAAAATGAACGCAGAACGCTGTTAAAAACCCAAAATATATACACAGGAAGTAAAATAGAATAGAGTTTTATTTAGCAGTTTGACAAGGACAAATAATGTAAATGAAAGAAGAAAAAAACGTACAACGTTAAACTTTGGGACCCTGCAAGTAGGCCAGTCTCACTGGTTCTCACCACAAGGGGTTACGATCCCCCCAACAGCCCCAAAACAGAAATAAAACACACAACAAAGTTTAAAAACTACGTGATAACACTACCAGTTGATTTATTCGTGATTAAAAGTGGACATGATTTGAAATGACAGTAGGCGGATAGTAGTAGTAGTGAGTTTTAATTAGCAGTTTGACAAGGACACATAACGTAAATAGTGGTGCTCACATATGGCTAAAAATTCTTTGTGAATTTCTTGCAGCATAAAATTAATACCCAATTCTCATTATATCGTGAACTAATACTGGACGATATAAGTGAAATCACAATATACATTTCGATTTAATTTCTTATTTTACAATTAACCAAGAATAGTCTTGTTTCGTGATTGATGTATTGATAATCCTTTGTTGAATATTACAGCTTTAACTGACTGTGTTATTCGATTGGGAAAATGTTCATGATCTTTGAATGTTTAATGTCCGCCTCAGTGGAAAAAGATCCATTTTAATAGTTTTTATCAAATTTACACTGATTTATATTTTGAAATATGACGAAATAATGTCACTATAGAAATCAGTATAGAAATGCACATTTTGATGTTCTTAGTGACATTTCGGACTCTTATTTCCTGAAAGAATTTCAACTTACCCTATTTTGTTTCATTTTGGTATCTTACCGGCACCAACGCATACTAATAAAAATACGGAAACGAGGATATATACTTTTCAATTTGACAAGAACCAGGAAGAAAGAAATTTATCATATAAATACTTCGGTTGAAATAATGAATAAAAGGTGCAAAGGAAATAACTTTGAATTGGTCTAATCCGGCCACAGCGTAACATATATTTGAAATTTGATATTTATAAGCAGAGTCACTGGAAAGACATATAGTCAATTATAAAGTCACAACATACAAATTAATTGGGACAGAAAAAGTGGAAACGTAATTTGCTGCTAAGTAATTTGTGTTTATCAAACAAATCCTTTATAACATTCATATATTTATATGTGAATGTTATTGTTGTATTTTGCAGTCATGAGTGTTTGCAACTGACTATGACGCACAAGAACCCACCAATTGGGTGTGAACAATCCTATGCGAGTGGTTTGAAGATGTTGAAATCAGCATATTAGATTTTAGTGATTTGAAAAAAACGTATTATAACAATAGTTTTTTTTTTTTTTCAAATTGTAGATTTCAGAACAGGACATTTGTTAGATAATTTTACCAACAAAACATATAGTTGAAAATCAAACGGGACTTTTATTATTATTTATTTGTATTATATAAAATAGTCTATACGATCCTTTTATTGTTTCAATCTGAAATCAAAAACATAAAACTCGCAATGCCTACATGCCAATTCGCGGATTTATATTTATGTTTACCTCTATAAAGCTGATATGTAGCTACAGCCGTTCTTTCATTGATCCGTCTTTTTATCGATAGTCTGTGTCTTAGTTTATTTTTGATGAAATGAAAGGATTTGGATGGGTATAAGCAATTCAGTTTAATAGACAACTCTGTTTTGGTTGCAAACTATAACAACGGTATTTTCTCAAATTTATGAACAACCAAATGTAAAAATTATATCGACGTTTTGAATGGCGTATTATAAACCCGACTACGCCACAGAAACGCTTTGTCACAAAAGAAGCATCAAATTGGAGATGATTGTTATTGTTTATGGGGGAGTTATTGTCATTTCGAGGTGGTGGTAATATTTGGTGTGAAGCTGGTGGTAGTATCTTAGCCTTTCCTGGCGACGCGGAAAGTTCTACCGATGTGGATTGTTTTGGTTGATCAGTCTTGATACATTCAAATGTTGGACTTTATATCGAATAGACATAGGGATCTAACACCTCCACAGTATTCCCTCGCCAGGACGCCGGCGCACACAAAGGCGAGATGTGTTTCAATATTTTTTTGATTTTGATCTTTGTGACAATGACTTCTACAAATATCAAATATCATCGTGGATGTTGCGTGCTTGCAGCAAGTACACGTACATAGAGCTCGTCACCTGGTGGTTCTTTGCCCATAATTATGCTCCATTGAGTTTAATAAAATGAGACATTACTTAGTTACAATAAACGATGTGGCTACGTTAGTTTGTTTTTATATGTGTTAATGTGTATTTGCTAAGCCTTCACACAGTGGCCATTCCCACAGTCCCGAAGCACCAATGTTCAATGAGCCAACTATTTCCAATGCCTGTTCACATTTTATTAAACTCTTCATGCGAGCAATTAGTTTGGCTTCATATTTATTCTAAATCCATGCGGTTGCGGTATTTGTTTACAGATTGTAACAAATGTTGCACTTATTTTGAGATTGTGCCAGTCTGGAGAGTTAATTCTTAACAAGTTAAGGGTTCATTGAATGCATACCCAGTATGCCTATAACCACTAACCTCGACGTGACCTCTGATTGTTTATTGACAAAACGTCGAATATACCCATTTATGTAAACAATTCACTTATTTTGGCAACTGCAGAAACTCTAAAATAGCTTCATTACTGTGTTTTTGGTTGTCGACACACTCTCACATTTTTTGGCTTGGATCCATTTTTAAAAGTTAGATCCAGATTCTTCTTCACCAATCACATGTCTTACAAATGGTGTTTAAATACACAGCCTAATGCCAAGTACTGACCATGCCATACTACGAAATGTAAAATAAACTACATATCTAAAATGCACTGCGATGCGTGACAATGCACTGCCAGTTGCATAAGAAATGCATTGCAAATACAGTTCCAGTAAACATATTGCCTATTGCTGTATATGGTCTGGCAATTCCATCTATTTGCTTGGTGACAGCAACGGAAACGAAGACATTTGTCTGAAGATAAAGATGTCACGTAATAGTATTCACCAGCAAGTGTGCATGTATTGTTGCGACAAAAAGTCCATTTACAGAAAAGTGCCTATTTTTGTACAGTATTTCTCACTGTTGGACCCGAACTTTGCCTATTCTCCAGTGTGTCACAGGGCATGTGAAACTCCATAACGTGCGTGTTATGGTCACGTATTCACTGACGACTATTTGGCAAGCTATTCGTCTACATTTTTGTCTAAGACTTTAACAATATCTAGTTAGAGGTTGTACCAACGTTTAGTCTCATTTTATTGAGGATAATTTGCCGAAAAAGATAGAACTGTAAGTCATTGTAGTACTGAGTTGACAGATGAGATTTTGCCATTCAGTGAAAATATGATTGTTCACAATTTCGCGAGGCTTCTTCATCCATATCTGCCTAACAGTGGTATGAACATTATAAAGATATAGAACGTTAGTGACACTTGAACCAGAAATTTCAGAGGCCTTATATTTCATTATTGCACGCTATACACGCTATAATAATACGCTAGTTTACAAAAAGTAGCTCCCAGTATTCACGACCGTTTAATCATAAGGTATCAAATGAAGCAATAAGCTTGCGGCATATGAATCGAGCAGTTTGTCAGAGTTACTAACATTTTCTGAGCTCTTGTAAATATTTACCAGCTGCAGCAGATAGCTTGAATATTAGTAAGCTGAGGCACACTGTTAGTATGGCTTATTCTAGTGATACATAAGATGACCACACGAGATCCACCAGGTAGCATAACACACTGCAGACTACGAGGTGCTAACACTGTCCTTATCTGACGTTAAATTGTCAACGGCAAAAGATATAGACTTTGCTTTTCAGAAAAGCAAAAATCCAAAGGCCCTAAAAGCTAGATGGCATAACTTCACAGATTTTTTAGCAAAAAAATTTTTAAAAAAATATTGATGCTCTACTTTGCATTATGTTTTTCATAAAAGTTCATTTTATTGTGGCTAAGCCACTCATCATTTTTGGTGGTTGTATTTAACTTAAGAAAACCCAATTATTCTTTGATTCAATCTATACGCTTTATTATATTATATGAATATATTTTGATAGTTAAAAATTAAACATACACCCTCAATACATGTACAAAATGGTGTTAATTGGTTTAGTATGTTCTCAGTCTCAAACACCATTAGGGAATCCAGTGACGAAACATGAATGAATAAACTGTGAAATTACCTATCATTATTGACATAGGGCATCAGTCTGGCCTTCCTTCCCATGTTTATGCTTACTCGTTTTTGTTCTAAAGTGATTGAATGCGTTCTTCGAAACCGTTAATCTTATCAAAATTGAATAATCTATGCTTAATCTGGTTTCACTGGTGCACGCTCCCTTTCAACATTCTTGTCATAAACGTTATGAATGAGTTCAGAATGAGATTGGCAACGGGACTCTAAACACTCTAAAGAACATATAATCATAAAGCTATGAACGGAACGTAGAGTATCGGGACTACGATTCACTTGGCAGATAACAGTAGCAGATACTGTAAAGATACTAGGTTCGACCCAAAGGAATATACATTAGTGGATTACAGTTACTTTAGCTTTATTTCCCAATCAGCCAGCTAAGATAACGTCTGGCTGCTAATTTCCTGTTAAAGATTTCCTAATTCTTTCTCCTAAAAATTCTATGGCGTGGCAGACAAACACGTGACCGACCAATAACTGTTGCCGTTGGCATGATCAGGTGTCTACCAGGAGTGCAAAATTGCAATTACAATTAATAAACAATTGTTTATAAAATTCCTGTAATATATGTTTATGACGTCTAGTTTAAACATGCAAGTTGTCTGCAACGACAGAAACGTGTGTACGTATATGTCACTATAGCAACAGTAAACCTCTATGAAATGGAAGAGAAAATATTGTCATCAAATCGCAGATTATGTCAACGTGTCCTTCTCTTGTTGAAGCTATTAATGTCATCAAATCAGTCAGCATGGCTTTGATTGCTTGAATATTCTGTGGCGAGCATGCATATTAACCTAGATATCAATTATGTTGTCCATATTACCAAATAATCGTGTAATTGTTTGACAGAACATGCCAAGATATAACTGTGAAGAAATTGATACAAAATCAACTTAAATTTCAGGGTTTTTTGCCAAAACATTGTTATTGCTCATCACAGTTAAAAAACCTACAGCAAATTAAATTCAATCAAATTAAATTTATTTATTTTGATGTTGTTAAACTAATGAAATATCGTACACAGCTGTATCAGTCGTTTCGCTATATTAAGCTGATCTCGAAATCCTCAAACCACTCGCATAGGATTGTTGACACCCGATTGGTGGGTTCTTGTGCGTCATAGTCAGTTGAAAACACTCGTCGTCGTAATTATATCGCAGATCCTGCCCTACACAAGACTCCAGGAATCGACGAAGTGGTAGAATGTGACTGTAAGATACAAAAATAACATTCATATACAAATTTCAACCGAATTTGTTTGATAAACTCATCCCTTTGTTCCAAAATCAAAATTAATTAAGACAATTTTGTTTGTGTTCTTTAAAGAGGTTTTTGTTAAAATGATCATTATATATCATGCCACTTATGCTTCCATCTCGAAACATTGATCTGAGAAATTTGATGAACAAATAATTTACTATTATTGATAAGAATCTCTCTCAATTGACGTGTCAGGTTAATTGTTCACAGTTTGTGATCAATCACATAATAACAAACATGTCTGTATTACATTGGAATTTAAGCTTTGATAAAATGGTTTTATTAATACGTCAGCTATAAGAAATTGCTATTCTTGGCAAGTTGCATAATGTTTTTGTTTGATCGATATGTACTTGTGATTGTTTTTGTCGAACGAATGAACGATACAAAACGAATTTCGAATTGCGAGAAACATATATGGCGTACTAATATATACAGAGTATTTGTAATTTACCTGTTAGGTGTAGACCATGACGTCCTAAAATCTGACGTTATATGGTGCAATTTGGTGGGCCGAGGCAGTCCGTTGTATAAAAGCTTATTATGCATAATCATATCTTTATCTATCAACAGAACATAAAAATAGTTAGGTAAAATTACAGTTTACTTTGTAAGACAAAGAAAATTATTATTATTATTATTATTATTAGGTATAGATTTTTTTTAATTTTCTTACATATTTGGTAAATATAGGAATATTCAGGACAATTTAATGTTAAGTTGTATTCTGGATTCATTATGGCCTTGCTGGAGACCTAGTGCTGTTGTGTGAAATATATGATGAGCTGAATTGTGTCTTTGTTTATTATTACGTCACAACTTCGAAAAATTTGCTGCACATATTTTCACCAAAATTATAACAAATTTTGGATTAACAATATATTTTATTGATTTGTTTACCAATAATACATATATATTTTTTATCGATTAGCGCAAAAGTGAACTAACCAAACCTCCTTCAATTCTAACCAAATTGTTCACTGTCACTGTCCTGTACCTAACTCTATTACAATATCCAGATATAAATATTAACATTGTTATTCATGTCGAAAAAAATACATTTGGTCGCAAAATATTTGAATATATATATATATATATATATATATATATATAAATAATATA